CTGCTAAAATGTGCAACAATGGATGAATAAAAATCTAACTTTTCTGTAAACTATTGTTAAAATCACAATAGAAAAAAAAAAAAAAGCAAAGCAGTCTCCTGACTAGAAATCCAGAGTCAGCATTTAGGAACTCAGCAGCGGTTTAAGAGAGTAACCCTATGTCTGTCAAGTCTGTAATCAAAAGGTTGTGCTTGTCTTTTGTGTGTGTTATTTCAATGTTCTAGAAATTCTCAAAAGGTTGTGCTTGTATTTTGTGTGCATTATTTCAATGTTCTAGAAATTCTCAAAAGGTTGTGCTTGTATTTTGTGTGCGTTATTTCAATGTTCTAGAAATTCTTAGTGTTTTACAAAAGTATTACATAATCCATGGCAACTAGCCCAGCCTCAGAGTTTAAGTATTGAGTTAAAAACTCTTATGAGTGTGAACAAATCTTTCACTCTCAGCAGAATGCTGAGTATGAAGGCCTTAGCAAAGTCCAACCCCAAACAAAAGTAGGACAATAAAACGCAACCAATCAGAACAAATCATGCTGCTTTACTGCATTCCACTCTACAAGAAAATGATAGTCTATTTTCATATTGGAAATTTAGTAAATAACTTCCGGGGATATGTGGTCCAATTTCACAATGAACAGCAATCAATGTACCAAGAGCTTGACTTAAGTGTTTCTGAAGACTGTAGATCTTCTTCTCAGACCTGAGCCGAGGCAGAAAATCTAGATTCAAATCCTGGCTTCTCTGCCTGAAAGCTTTGTGACACTGGGCAAGGGATAACCTGAGCTGGAAGTTTCCTTAGTTTCAAAAAGTCTGCCCAATCTACATCAGTAGTACTGAAATTCAAATGCGATCACGTATATGGAAGTGCCTCGTCAAGAACAGTAACATGCAGGAGAAGTGCACAGTGAGATGATGATGATGGTTATGACTCAGACTTTTAGGAACTGAGTCACAAAAAGGGTCCTGAAATGGAACTTAACCAGAACACTGGTGTTCTTCAAATGTCCTGTGTGTGTATCATCCCACTGGGTGCCATCAGAGAGGAAGCGGAAGAGTTGCAGCCCCTTGTTAAAGTGGCTCACAAATGCCAGGAGCGGCCAGCAGCAGCCTTCAGGCCTACATGTCTCTTCGTATGGCAGGAACTGCTGTGACATGCCATGGGGATGATGCCTCATAGTGACTGAACACCACATCAGAACCACCCTCATGTTCACCACCATACTTATGCTCACTAAAGTGACTTATGGATACTGCAATCCCAGAGGTACACGGTTCAAATCCACCAGATGCTCTGCCGGAGAAGGAGGGACAATTTCCTCCTGTATCAGTCAGAAATGATTTGATGGTACATGCACAAATAATAATAATAATAATAATAATAATAATAATAATAATAATAAATTAAATTAATTAAAGTGAAGTCACTAAAGAGCAACTCTTCCTCATATCAACAAGTAAGCTATTTGGAGACTGCCTTAAAATCAGAAACTTCAAAATGTAGTACTATTTTGCTTCTGTACTTTAGGCATGAGAAGACCAGAAATTCATATTGGATTTTAGCTTTATTTGGCGACATGTTACAGTAGACAAAACCAAGTTGACAAATACATGCTCTACAAAATATACATTCATATGTGTGAGAAAATATAAATAGGTACTAGGAAAGGGTCACACTGCACAATGACTTGGCTAATACATTTCTTTAAGTATGTCGGAAGGCTCAGACCAACATCTTTTGATGGAAGAGGGGGTGGGGGGTGGGAAAGACAGTTGGGGAAAACAAGAGGAGAGAAGCAAGCCTCCCTACAGATCAGAAGGCTGGCATGCCAAGACATAGTCCAAGAACTTCACTACCCGATGGTAAATTTTTTTTCTTTCAAGACAGTTACTGTTTGTAAATGGCCATTTCACACCCCTGTAAACAAGCATATTTGGCATTCCCCCAGTGATAATCCTTGGTGACTCTGAGGACTGCTATGAAATACTCAACACAAAAACCTTGGGGCACAGCCAGTTCTCAGCAGGCACACCTTACTATTCACCCCTATACTAGTTTATTGAGTTGATAGCCTTTCCAATGTTGTTATGAGCAGCTTATAATGTATATCTTAATTCAGAATGTGCTATTCTTATAAAAAAAACTAGGCAATCATCCAAAAAAGAAATTCATTTAGACTGTACCAAAATTTTTTTTTAAAAAGTTATAAGGTAGAAGTTGTAGAAGGGAAAAACACCTGTCGAACAGAATTATGAAGGAGATCACAAAAGAAGAAACTAAAATATTACTTGCAGGCAGACAGAAATATCTTAGCTCAACCTTTTATGGTCCAATTGTTACACCATTACCTCTGTAATCTGCATTAAGGAGCGAAATAAGAAAAGGAGAATGTAGTGTAAAATGACAAATACCTCCACTGCTCTACTACCCTTCTGACATTTCTGTGAGTTTTAAAGAGCAAAGAGTTGGTTTTAAAATTGGGTATGAAAGAGAGCACCACAAGTCCAAGTCTACTCCAAACAGGCCCCATGTGGGGGGAGGGGGTTAGGAACAGAGATACAAATCAAAGAATAAAGGGAAATTTGTAACACATTATAAACCTTTACATTTTATTATTATAATAATGCTATTTGTGTTAGTTACTAGTTAACAGATTTCAGCCACTAACAAAGGATTTGAAGGACAAAGACTTTCAGGTTATTTGTGGAAATTTTCAATCATAAAATCCAAAGAGGACTTATAAGTTATCTTGTCCATATACTCAAAATGTAGCAATTTCTTCAGTGCCATTAACAGATAGTAATTCAGCTAGTACAAATATCTTTATTGTGATGAGCTCACTAGCTTTCAAGGCAGGTTAACATTCCAATTGTCAGACAAAACTAGCTGCCTGACAGCTTACTGAGCTTACTAGAACCTGTATACTGTGTCCCCTGTAACTTCTACCCCATGAGAAATAGCTCTGTCCTCTGGGATAAAGTCACTCAATGCCTTATTTCATATGACAGCCCTTTAAGTAAGTAGGGACATATCGCAGCTCTCATTTCATGGAACCTAAAGACACTGATGTTCCTCGGACAACCTCCTAACAGTGGCGTGGTCCATTAGGGGCTATGCTGCTACCCCAGCATGGCTCTCTGGCAGTTTCAATGCACCAGTGACCTGGTAGGGGAAAGATGGGAAATCTCCTCCCATGCAATTTACAGCCTCTGAGAACATGCAGGAGGAACAGCTCTGAGTGGTTCCAACTCAATGGCAATGAGTTGAGTTGAACAGGCAATGTGAAAATTATCTTACAGAAAAACACATATGGGAAACACTCTGAAGTGGTATTTTAGGGGCTGTACATTGAGCTGAGTTTGTATTTTCTACACCATTACCTCTGCTAGGCAGGGAACAAAATTGGTGCAAGTAGGAGCAAGCAGCATCACTCTTGTTCTACTCTAACAAATATTTTATGAAAGTAGCTTTTTAGGAGAGTATCATAATTATTTGGTTCCTGAAGGGACCACAGATTCACAGACTGTTGCTGCTAGAAGGAGCATCTATTAAAATGCCCTTATTTCTTAAGTGAGAAAACTGAGGGCTAGAGAAATCAAGGGGCTTGCTCTTGATTACAAAGCTAGAAAACAGCAAAAACAGAAATGGGAACGAAATCATGACTTCAAAGTCCAATGCAAGTGAGAAATCACAACCCAGTAAAATAAAAGAGATCACAAGTTGAAGGCACAGAAAAACAGATGCTGAAAGTGGTATTTAAGGAGCTCAAAGTAAAAATGAGGAGGGGTTGACAGCTGAAAAAAGGAGTGAGTGAAAGGTGTATGGCTAACTAAAGAAGGGCTGCTCTTGTGGGAGGGAAGTTTAGCACTGAAAACTAATGAAATTCACCTCCATTTCCTAGCAGAAAGCTAAGAAATAATAGAATTCGTAAACCTTGAAATACACAAAAGACTTAGACATTTTTCTTTAAGTGATTAACTAACTAGTGAGTCACTAGTACTTACTAGACTTAGAGGACACAATCTGACAACATAAGGACAGAATTTTAGTTCATTACATTCCATTAGAGTATTACATCCCCAGTTTACATAATGATTTTAGCTATTAGGAATTCAAGAAAAATATTTGGACTTCAGTATTACTTGTATAAAACAAAGGACCCCCCAAAACGTCATAGAATGGGTATCTTGGCACCTCCAACTTCCTTTTACTCCCAAAAGCACTCACTCCTTAAGTTTATCTTCTTAAGACACACTGTGCCTTGGTAAGAGATTTCAAATTAAAGCAAACACACAGAAGAAGCAATCTTTGGTTTTCTTGCCAACTAACTACTCTGGTAAAAGAACAGTTTCCCAAAAAAATTTTTCTTCCATCTATGTGCACACAGCTGTACCAATACAGTTGGCCTTTAGAAAAAATTAGCCTTTTCACACTGATACAGTCAGATCAGCTGGCTTTTGTAAACAGATGGCAAATAATTAGATGTGTGAACCTTTAAGAATGAAGAAAGTGGTTAATTACACCAAGGCTGTATTTGTGTGTATACAATTACTAAGTACCTTGCCCGTTACACATATATTTCTTAACAAATAAAATTTTAAAGCTTTATAAGCAAAGTCTTTAGATCGCACTAAATCAAGTTATACAAAATCTGTCCATGATTGGAGAAGCTGTCTGTAACATAACTGGGTATTACACATACTTTGGCATATATTTAAAAAAAAAACACACACCACCAGAATTACACTGCAGCCAACAAATACAGTAAATGAATAAAATTTAAAAAAAAACACACACAACTATTTATAAATGCAAATATATTTACAATGAGATCTCTAGGTGGCAGGGGACACACGTCCCACTTCTCTCCCCCCAAAAAGAGAGAGAATCAAAATAATATAGAACCCCATGACCTGGTACAAGTTCATCAAGTCTGGAATTTTTGCCAAAGACCTTGAATATCAAGGCCTCAGTCTCAACTACATATATGCTTAAAAACACCGAAGAGTTCCAGGCACACTTCCTGGAAGGCTCCCAGTTACTTCTGTGGAAGACAAAGTAGGACAGTGATGTTTTCCCGGAACCACTCTGAGGCTTGAGACAATCCAGGTTGTTAAGCAGCAATGAGACTCTTCCTGACAGGCAGTGGGCACGTCCCAATGGCCCTTTAGGACGTCCATCCGCTCTGCATCTTGCGAGGGCAACGCCACATATTTCTGGTTAGATGCACCCACTTGTCAGCCTTTTCCCTTTCCTCGCCAGGGATGAGCCTAAACAAGTACCTGGCCCACCTTGGTGAGATCAGATGTAATTGTAAACAAAGAATAAAGCAAATGCTGACTTTGGGGTTTTTTCTGAACTCTGAGGTAGTAAATACAAAATAACTGATTTAAGTTTCTGCCCAGGTTTCATCCTGAGTGAGTTTCATGTATCCTCAGTACCATCTTGAATGTTCGGAGTCCTAGTGAAATCAAACGTGTGGTCACGTAACCTGTGGCAAGACAAGGGGGACGCGGGACAGTCTGGGTCACTCTCTGCCAGGCCCTCGTTTCGGAGAAGTTGTGGTGACTCAAGGATCGGCTGCTGAGAAAAGGGGGGATGAGGTCGCCCTAGATCTTTGCTGACATTCCACAAGGGCCGTTGCAATGTTTCTGAGAATCAAAGATAAGAATTATCAGTGGATCAAAATTCTGAGGTTAGCATTTAAGATTTAATTGTTTTAACCTAACCAAATCCTTACTGAGGTATGTTCCATTTTCATGATTAAGGACACTATAATCAAATGTACAGTTGTCATCTTCTTAGCCACAACTGGGGGGAAAACCCACCAAAACAAAAAGCAGGACAAAAGCTAAAAACTCTTTTAAATCTTTTTATTTCACATATTTACTTAATAAGACTATCATCTATTTCATATACTTTCACCTTTTATTGGTTATGCTGCTATATACATTTTAAAACATCTTTGGTTTATATGGGGGGACCAAAGAAGAATTAATGATCATATTTATGTAAATTAAAAACTGGCATTAGATGAAATCAGCATCATAATGAAAAATAACATCATAAACTCACTGTCACTGAGTCAATTCCAGCCATAGTGACCCTCCGGGGCTGGTCATAAGGTTTCCACTGTTGTAATCTTTATGGAACTGTTGTTGTTAGGTGTCATTAAGTACAACCCAAAGCAACCCTATGAACACAGATCTGAAGTCTGTTCTATCCTGTGCCAGCCTCATCATGTGTGATGCCTTTCCAAGCATGATATCCCTCTCCAAGAACAGCCTCCCCTAACAATATGCCCAAAGTACGTGAGGTGAGCTTTGTTAAAGGAAGTAGAAAGCCACGTATCTTTCAGCAAAGAATTTAACCTTTTGGTTATCAGACAAAAGCTTAACCACTGTGCCACCAGGGCTCCTTGGTTGCCTCAGAGACTGCTGATATAGTCAGTCACCATTATTTAAATAACTAACAGGTATCTGTTGTACATAGGGTTTTGTGCATACAAACCTTTAGTCTGCTTGGCTCCACGGTCAACACTCTTGGCACCAGCAGCCAGGAAATCAAAAACGTATTGCGATGAGAAAGCTGGTTGTTAGGGACCTCTCCAGGGTACTGAAGAGCAATGATGTCACTCTGGAGACTAAGGTGCGCCTGATACAGGCCATGGTCTTTGCAATCACTTGTTATGCATCAGAGAGTTGGACAATGACTAGGGAGGATAGAAGGAGAATTGATGCCTTTGAGCTGTGGTGCTGGAGAAGAGTATTGAATGTACCCTGGACTGCCAAGAAAACAAACAAATTCATCTTGGAGAGGGTTAAACCAGGCTACTCCTTGGAGGCAAGGATTCTGGGGCTTCGTCTGACATACTTTGGACACGTTGTAAGGAGGGACAGGTCCTTGAAGAGGGACATCATGCTTGGTAGGGTAGAGGGACAGCGCAGGAGAGGAAGGCCCTCTATGAGATGGATTGATTCAGTGACTGGGGTAATCGGGATGGGTGTGTCAGAGGCGAATGGCACAGGATAGAGCAGGGTTTAGGGCTGTTGTACATAGGGTCGCTTTGAGTCACAAGCGACTCAATAGCACATAACAACAAACAACAACAATAGGTATCTATGTTTAAAAATTGTTTGAAAAATACATAACCAGTCATCTCCAACTTCTAGTATGTCAGTACTTTAAACAAAAATAATAACAAAAAACCCATGTATTTCAAATCAGATTATCTGCATTTCAGTTTTAAAAATATGCACTGTCTTTATCTAAATGGTGGAGTGATGAGCTTTTTACCCAAAGAGCCAAATTAACTCCATGGGCAAGGAACCAGAAAATCCTAGGTAAGAAACAGGCAATACGCCAAGCACTCTCATTTGCTACATCATCGCCTACAGGCCAGATTCAAAGGCAAAACATATTCAAGACTATAAAAAGAGCCACTGTACTTTTTGCTTCTACTTAAAGCTTATTTGTCTAACTCTTCTATAATACAGGAAAATTATTTCAGTGTTCTTTCATGGCCACTGCATCTACAAAGGGCTAACTTTAACCACAGTTCTCTTCTGACCTGTACGCTCATTACAAATCTTCAGAGTTGGTCTCTTAAATCAAAAACAGGGCACAGTTTACATTTTAAGTATGGCAAATAATTTCTAAAACAAAAAGAGACTGAAAAAAAAGAGAAACTACAATATGGAACAAAGCACATTTGCCTTCCTTAGCAAACCTAGGTTCACAGGGAGGTGAGCTCATGGGCTGGAGGACATACTCAGTAGTAACGTGCATAGACTAACTAGGAAGAGTTTGTTTCAAGTTGTCATCAAATGTCTAATCCAGACTAATTCAATGTAATTCAAGTACTTCTTTCTCTGGGCCATGTGAGGTGGAAAACACTACTCCCGACCAAGACATGACCCCTGACGAGGACATGACCCCTGAACAAGAACGCTACCCCCTGAACAAGGACGTTACCCCTGAACAAGGACGCTACCCCCTGATGAGGACGCTACCACCTGAACAAGGACGTTACCCCCTGACGAGGACGCTACCCCCTGAACAAGGGCGTTACCCCCTGACGAGGACGTTACCCCCTGAACGAGGACGTTACCCCCTGAACGAGGACGCTACCCCCTGAACGAGGACGCTACCCCCTGAACGAGGACGCTACCCCCTGAACGAGGATGCTAACCCCTGAACGAGGACGCAACCCCTGAACGAGGACGCTACCCCCTGAACAAGGACGCTAACACCAGACCGAGGAGGATGCTACCCCCAGACCAAGGATGCTACCCCCAGACCGAGGACGCTACCCCCAGACCGAGGATGCCACCCCCAGACCGAGGACGCTACCCCCTGAACAAAGACGCTACCCCCAGACCGAGGAGGTTACCCCCTGAACAAGGACGCTACCCCTGAACAAGGACGCTACCCCCTGAACAAGGACATTACCCCCTGACAAGGACACTATCTCTGAACAAGGACGTTACCCCTGACGAGGACACTACCCCTGAACAAGGACGTTACCCCCGAACAAGGACATTACCCCCTGAACAAGGACGCTACCCCGACGAGGACGCTAACCCCTGACAAGGACGCTACCCCCTGAACAAGGACGCTACCCCCTGACAGAAGACGCTACCCCCTGACCGAGAACATTACCTCCTGACCGAGGACTCTACCCCCTGAACGAGAAAGCTACCCCCTGAACAAGGACGCTACCCCCTGAACAAGGACGCTATCCCCTGACAAGGACGCTACCCCCTGACGAGGACATTATCCCTGACGAGGACACTACCCCCTGATGAGGATACTACCTTTGACAGCTCTCCATCATGGAGCTCTCACAGAAGAGAGCAAACATCTGGGATTCAATATTCATGTCAGAAAAGAGCAAGAAAACAAAGCCGTTTTCCACCTTTTCGGTAAAGAATATCACCAAAATTAAGCACTAACTAGGTTAGCGTTTTAAAAAGCCATTATTTAAATATTGTTGATGTTGTTGAGACAATTACAACTCATAGCAACTGTATGAACAACAAATCTGCACCCTGCCCTGTCCTGCTGCCATATTCATCAACACTATATGCTTGAGCCCGTCGTTACAGTCACAGTGGAACTGTGCTGAGTGTTAAGGGTCTTCTCCCTGCCCAGCATAATGTTTTTTCCAAGGCTTGGTCTCTCCTGACTATATACCCAAAGTTTGTGAGACAATGAGAGAAAAAGCATCTATATGAAACTTGTTGAATAGTTTTTCTGTACAGCCTCTGAATTTTCAGTATTGTGATCTTGTTAAACACACAAAAGCTGTTCTAACTTCTGTTCTAAGGCTTCTTTGTAACTCTAGTATCTAGAAATCTCAGGCTTTAGTTTACACCATTTGCAGCAGTCATTTAATTTATCAGGCCAACTTATTTTGCCTCCTGCCAAAGGAGAATGCTACCTATATGACAGGGAGCTCTGGTGCCTTAGCAATAAGGAGTTGTGTTGCCAACTCAAAGGCATACAACTCAAATCCACCAGTTGCTCCTCAGGACAAAGACAGGTGGTCTTCTGCCACCTCATTTACTGCCTCTGAAAACCCACTGGAGAGTCAGCTATCAGTTGGTCCCTATGTTCAATGGTACATAACAATAACAACCCATATAATAAGAGGGAAAAACCAATGAGTGAAAGGAAAATAAAGCAAACAAAACCCATTACATCACTTACCACTGGCCAGCTGTGTGGAAGGAAGTTTCTTCTCATTCATCCACTCATGGTTAGTGGGAAGAGCAGACACATCTCTGTCTGATGCTATCAAGCTCTCCAGAGTATTGGCATCTTGGGGAGGACTGGCCAAAAATGTCTCTTTAGGCATCTGGACCATAAGGCTGGACAGCGTCTGATCCAGAACATCCTCTTCAGCAATATAGGTATATGGACAGTATTCTCGGGTCCTGGAGTAGATGTTGGCATTGTCATAACAATCTGAGCAGATTACCCGGGTACCAGCAACACCTGAGAGAGAGGGTTAAGAGAAAGAACCCCAACACTGCTCAGTTAAGGAACTAGCTTCACCAATCATTCACCATCAACTTCCCTCTATAGCTGACACCATCACTATTAGCATTTATTAAGTGTGTACTTTACAGACCAGGTGACATTTCAATGTCTTTCTGTGAATTAATTTAATCTTTGTAACATCTCTATAGCACTATTCACAGAATAAAGCTGGGTCATTTCCCTTGTAATTCACAGCCTCTGAAAACCCAGTGCAGGGTCAGTTATTAGTCAGTGAGTAGCAGTACTATTACTAGCCCCATTTTACTAATGGGATAATAACTACAGCACAGAGAAGTGTTTTGCTCAAAATCATACTTCCAGAGTGAGGAATAAAAATTTGAACCCAGACACTGGCTCAAAGTACATATTCCTACAGACTGCATTAAACCATCTCTGTCATGTCTGAATATGGTCACCCTCAAATCAAGGGAAATAGGATAAGCCTGGCACCATGCATATTGCTGGCTTGTGCAAACTAAAGCAGAAAACAAGTTGACAACTTCATTTCAAAAAGCTCAGGCAACTTTAGGGGTCACGAGGTGAAGCAACACCAGTTGTTAGAAGTGCCCTTGGAGAAAATCTCTGACAGCCAAGAGTCCTATCTAATAAATGTGTTTGACAAAAAGTGTAATAATTAGCTCCCTGAACTATTATGTGCTTTGAAGCCTGCAGAGACATGTAATCATTGTCTAAAGAACTAGAAATATCCCATTCCATGAAAAACTAACATAAAATCCAATTTGTTGGTCAGAGAAGTTCTGTTGACACCCAACCTAAAATTCTCTGAAGAAACAAAATAAGCCATTGTTAGTATGTATGGTATGTGAAGTGCCACACAGATTTGTTAAGAATCTGTGAACTCCTAAGGTAAAGTGCTTTTTTTTTTTAAATTATGAAACTAAACTAAACCACACCTTAAATATCTTGTGCATGGTGAGATCGAGAAAGAGGCAGAACTAGGACTTAAATGTGAATCTCCTATCCCTTCATTCACCTCCCTGTGTGTGTCACTGTCAGAGTGAAAATGGGGGAAGGGGAGGGGGAGAGACACACAAGTTCTAAGAAGTCCGGTTCATTTAAGAAGAAAACATTTTACACTGATGGTCTTCAGTACATGCTGAGAAACATCACTGCCCTCAAACATTACTGAATATCCAGTTAGCACGAGGAACAAACTTCCTTTGGACATGGTCTGAAAGATTCTCATGTCTAGACAGGAAAGATACTGGGAAAAGTTTCTAGTGTATTCCTTCCTATAACAATACCATAGTTTCAGTACTTCTAACTTGTAATCCAATCCTTTGTTTAAAGACAATTTGTTTCTCTTTTGTATCAGATGATTTTCTGCTCTGTTAAGACTGTAATTCTAGTTTTATTTTTTAATGGAATCAAATGCTTTTATGGCGTGTCTTACTTTAAAACATTCAAGTTAATGGGAAAATACTCACTGAAATACAAATTCAACCAGATAGACTGAGATTATTATCATATACCACAAGTTATTACCATCAGCGCCTTTGTGTATATATCCATTGGCAGGAGGCATAAGTTGCTGGTGACTCCCTGCCTCAGAGTTGCTGTAACCTTCCTGTGGCTCAGACAGGGTTCCTTGGGAAGACAAGTAGCTGGGGATGTCCGCCGGCAGATTAAGCTCCTCTGTGAAAGAGACATCTGTAACTCTCAAATACTATTTGAGAAAAGACTATTTGGCAAGCATGTTCCATTTTGGTGACCATTGGCCAAGAAAATGGTATACTTAACAGTTCTTACAAAGCACGTCCCCTAAAGTGACTTTACACTAGAACTGCCCTAAAACATTCATTTTTTAAAGCACTACCAAAAGAAATAAAGCCTAAAATCTTATCCAGTCACATATTCACATCTACTTGGCTGTGTGCTTTCTCTCCCAGGATTGCAGTGTGCAGTATGAAGGACTGATCTCAAGTTACGGTAACTTCACATATGACAATGGAACTATGCTTTAGGCATTAAAGAAAGAGGGTGTATCTGTGATGTGTTTACAAGAGCAAAATATTTTGAAGGATTTACAATCCTTTAAAATTATCCAGAGGTTCTATCAAGCAATTTAAACATTTTAACAGCAAAACTCTTCTCCCACACTTCATGTAAAGTATTAATACTCTTTGGGTTTTATATAGTTTTACTCATTGCTAACTAAAGAGCAAGACATATTGTAGTCTTGGCATCACTCACCTGTGTTTGTAATACTGTAGTCCTCATTCTTCCTTCTCATGTGGTAAATAACAATGACCCAGATCAAAGAGGTGCCCACGACACAGCAAACCACGACAATGATGACAATGCCAATTGTGGTCCAGTTGTCATCTTCATGCCCAATGCTACTTTGGGAAGAGTCACAATTGGGGGATGTAATGACATTTAAATAAATGTGACCACGTTCTGTCCCTAGGGTGTTAGACATAATGCAGGTGTATTTCCCAGCATCTTCTAGCCCAGTATCTACAATGATAAGAAGCTGATTGGCTGCAGCAAAGAAGTGTCGTTCTGTCACCAGCAGGGGTCCATCATCTTTGGTCCAATTGAGGCGAGGGGCAGGACTCCCACCAGCTATGCACTGAAGAACCGCAGTTTCACCTCGGGTTACCGTCTTGTCCTCCAAGGGTCTAATAAATGAGGGTGTCTCTAACAGGAAGGTGTTAAGAAAATGAAGTTAGGCAATTTTACTCCCCAAATTCTATTTAATTAAGCTAATAGGAGCACCCATGCTGAAAAGAGACTTTTACACACATTCATGGAGGATTAGAAGTTCATGTTTTTAAAAAACTGACCAAAAATACCCTAACCTAAGCAAAGAATTAAATTATTATGACAAAAAGAATTCTATTATAAAACTAATTTCATAATAAAGTTTTTATTATAATTAATCTTATAACAACTATTTAAAAAATCTAAAAACCAAACAGAAAAATAAAGTAAATTATATTACAGTCATATGATGTTGTATGAAGACGTTTTAATGACTAAGCAATCCTTGTGAAACAAGTGGAAAAGCAGGTACATATAAATCCACACCAAAAGAAATTTAGTAGAGTAACTATGCCAAAATCTTCGTGTTAATATTTTCTAGCTTTCAATATCACTTAAATGTTAAAACAATAAGATCACTTCTTTGAAATTAGAAAAGCAAACAACACAAAGATGCCTCAGCATTCTCCACATGACTGTGAGCTGAAGCACTAACATGCGAGACTGAAAAAAGTGACAGAGAAAAATCACAATCTTTTGACCTCTTTACCTGAACAAAATTCTGAAATTTCAACTTTAGCTTTTCTTGCCCATTAAAATGAAGACTACCAAGTAAAAAGGTCCTGAAAATAAGCTGGGACCAATAATTTACCTAAAACTGTTAGTGAAGCATTTGCTGAGAGGCCTCCTGCTATGTTTTGTGCCATGCAGCTATATATTCCCATATCTTCTATTTTCACATTTGCAATGAAGAAGACATCATCCTCTGGCATAACATGCATGCGTCTTTCTCGAGCTGCAGGAAAGTCAGTACCACCGTCTTTCTGCCAGGAAATCTGAGGTGCAGGATGACCCTCTGCAGCACATTCTAATCTTGCCATGGCACCAGTTCGAATAGTTAAATCCATTGGGGTTTTCAGAAAAGATGGCAACTCTGAAAAGAAAAATACCAAGAGAAAGGGAAGATGGTTGTGAGCATATACATATATACAGCTATACATACACACATGTATGGTGAGAAGACACGGTGTCTGAACTGACAATGAACAGTTTTTTTAAAGGTTATTTTTTCCTCAAAAGTACAAAAGCACAGTGATGGCACAGTATATCCTAAAGTGTGTGACACGGCTGTTTGATTTTCCTGATAAGAAGAGAAAACCGAAACCACTAACCTTCCCACCTCCCTATTTTAGAATCTAATATTTACAGTGACCCTCTCAAAAAAGTAAAGGGTTCTTTCCTAATTATTACCTAAAAATTTGTCAAGGTCACTGCATGATATGAGAAATATGCCTTCAAAAGTCTCATGAAGCAAGACTGAAGCAACACACAATAAATACATCATTTGGTTGCATACACTTTCCTTGGAGGGTAAAAATGTTGCAGTTATTCAATCAGATAGGCAGTAGACAAATCAAGCTATGTTGGAGATGTTTTCTGCCAGCCAGTGAAGGGCATTAATTCTACAAATGACTCTGTCTGACAACATTTAGACTCTGGTCATGATCACTGGGCCCAGAAATGTCCTGAAAGTCCCAATTGTTGAAAGTACTTGTGAACATGGCCAAGAATGAATTTTGTGGTTTCCAGAATAGAATTAAGGCTCTGGAAAGAAAATGGAGAATTTTAAGACAATGTTGTTCTTTTTTTTTTTTTTTTTAAAAAAAAGTAGTAAAAGAAGTCCCTCTCCTAGAGTCATGGAATCCACCTGTCCCTTTCAACCAAAGACAAAAAAGGACAATTAAGTGGACAAACTAGCTAATGCTAAGAACCCACACTCTGAACACTATCAAAAGCCTAAAAACAAAACGATGAGAAACCATTCTTCTCCACAAGTATAGTATGTTACCTAATTTTCTTGATCATGTGGCTTAAAATGGAACATGAAACATCCTTCTAAAACTAAAATAATCTGAGGAAGCTTAATTCCTTACCATTTACAGTCAATTTGGCTTTCTGAGAATAATTGGAACCAAAATGATTAGTAACAATACACTGATATTTTCCTTCATCTGTGAAATTCACGCTGAAAAGATGTAGGACACTACTATGTTCTAGTGCTTCTCCAGCCTGCTGCTGATAACGAACAAAATTCTCAATATCCGCGTCATACAAGATTTCACTGTCTTTGCGCCACACGGTTGACATCGGGGAGTCACTGCTACTCACGGCAGTGCAAGTCAGTGTCACATTCACACCTCTTAAAGCAACGGTGGTTTCAGGATGTGTCCTGATCTGTGGCTTCAGAAAATCATCTAAGGAAACAAAATATTGTCAGTTATTTATTTTTGCTTGTGAAGATTCCATTTTAAAGCGAATAATGTAAAGACCCTGTGGTCTGTTTACAAAGTGGCATATCAAAGAAAATGTCTACACTGAAAGAGACTAAGGGCTAGCATCCAATTCCTTTGCTTAAGAGGAGAAAAATGAGGCCTAGTTGGGATGAATGACTTGTTTGTTTTAAGACATTTAAGTCAGGGGCGGAGCCTGAACTACAGTCCTAATTCTTAACTTAGAGCCCAGCAGTCTTTCCAGTATCCCTTATATCACTTGTATGTGTAGAGTGTACTTGGGCATTATTAGTTACTGAAAAAAAAAGAAATCCTGTATTATTAGGAGTCTGAGACAAGCTCTAATCCTATTAGTCCTTGTATAGATTGTATAGATGTAGGTGATACATAGATAAACATACACATAATAATCATCATCCTTTCTGTGCCAATAAAAAATTAGAAATTATGGATTTATACAAACACCTATTCATAAAACAAGTGATTTGAAAGCACTTTGTCTAGGCATAGCGTTTATCGAAAATATTGAAAAATTTCCAAATTTTGCTATACAGTCATCTTAGAACTCCTTAATAAACTACAGACTCACAAATAATGATAAATAGGATACTGTACTCATTCATAGAAACAGGTATATGAATTTCTACACAATATCTTTTATGGATAAAATTAACCATTGGAAAAAAGAGGAAAATACATAGTAGGTTTACTATAAAACTAAACTAAATCACAAACGAATCTATGGCAATGTAAATCATATTCAACTAGTTTTAGGTCATTTGTTTAGTCTTTAAAATTTAGAAAGACAACAATAAGAATTTATGCTTTCTATCTTTAAACAATATATATCTTTAAATAGGCCTGTGATAACTGATCATTTAAAGATACATACTGTTAGAGACAGAGAATTGATACCTGAATGACCTGGGTAACTAGTGATATGCAACGCAGACACTCTGAGGTACAAGTTCCGCTGTGTAAAGCTAAGAATCAGGTGTTTCACTTTAAAGAAAATCTAAGTGTAAAGGAAAAGCTTCCAAGTTGAGGAAAACAATTTAAATGCATACTTGAGTTTTAAATAAGCGCTACCCTGTTACTCTCCTTATCTGCCCCAATCCATAAAACAAAACAATTTCTGCTACTCTAACCTTAAGAAATGGCATCAATGGTGCAACCACTGTGGAAGGTGGTATGGCGCTTTCTCAAAAAGTTGCAAATAGAGATACCATTCAACCCAGCAATTCCACTACTGGGAATATACCCCAAAGAGACCATAACTGACATCCAAGCAGATATATGCAGACCCATGTTTATCCCGACTTTATTCACACTACAAAGGAGTTGGAAACAGCCTAAGTGTCCATCAACAAACAAACAAATAGACAAACTGTGGTATATTCACACAATGGAATACTATGCTGCATTGATAAGCAATTCATGCAATATTATTCAAAATGGGTGACCCTGGAGGACATTATGCTGAGTGAAGTATCTCAGTCACAAAAGGACAAATACTGCATGGTGCCACTGTTGTAAAACAGGCCTGATCTCGGGTTTGGGAGGAGACTGAGAAAGATGGGTTCAATAATGTATACTGCATTGAAACAGATGAGGGAGAAAACTGTTTAAGAGGTAAAATTATTAGGTATTTTTGTCACAACAGGAATGTAGAGCAAAGGCTGCATAGTGGAGTAGACTTGGGGGGAGGGATTATAAAACAATGAAAGAATTTTTCTTTTACTTTTCCAAGAGGGTAGTGCACTAGTGGGGAGGGTGGGGAGAAAAGTGCCACAATGAATGAATGGAAATCCAAAGTCTCTGTAAATGTTCACTGAAATTAGTAATACATTTTAAAAAAGAAAAAAACAATAAACACTTGATTCCTGTGATAACAGGATCCAAACTAAAAAAAAAAAAAGAAATGGCATCAAAACCACAAAATACATGAAACCAATCTGTTCATACATTGCCGACAGCAACACAAACTGGTTCTATTTTAAAAACATAACAAAACCTAGCGCTTTGTCCAAGATCTAAAATGTTTATATTTAAAGCGGGGGGGGGGGGGAGTTAGGCTGATTCAAGAATGTTATTACCAAATATTCATTCTAAGACTTGCAATCCTCCCAAAGGAAAAGGCCTATGTTCATAAAAAAAACAAAAAACAACCAAACAATAAATATATACTGCTATTAAAATGAGTTATGAAATGTAAACAGCAAAAAAATTACAGCGTATTAATACCATATACTTAATAGTTCGAGAACAGAATACAAATTACACATATTTTAACAACTACTGTATAAATGCTAATGCATTGAAGGCAAGCCTGAGAAGGTAACAGAGAAAGAAACATAAGGTAGGCCAGTAGAAAATATTCTGGGCTTTTTAAAAATTCTGGTATTAAAGGAGTGTATGTGTGTAACATAAAAGATTCTAAAATAAAAATACAAACCACAGACAAAATCTTTCAGGTCCACGTTCAGGATGCTTTGCCCTGCTAGCCATTCAGGGTGTGCGCAGCTCACGTTCACAGAATGTTGGAAGTTACTATCAACCAGCCACTGAAGTAACCACTTCACATGGCAGTCACAGAGCAAGCTGCTCGTGTTGAGAATCCTGCAGAAATAAAGAATATGTGCCCCTTGTTTTACTCTTCATTCCAAATTTTGTAAGCACAAATGTACTTTAAACACAAATGCATTTTTCTTGCAAAAAAACCCAGAAGATAATTGTTGTTGTTGTGTGCCGTCGAGATGCTTGCGACTCATAGTGACCCTCTGTACAACAACCCTAAACGCTGCTCTGTCCTGTGCCAATCACACTGTCGCCGACACACCCATCCCAATTACCCCAGTCACTGAATCAATCCACCTCATAGAGG